ATGGTTTTGCTGAGCACTCCTCCGCACAAAGCAGCCGAACAGGCTCTGCTATCTGGGGAGGCAGCTTGCCAGGTGCAGCCTTCAGAACAAAGGTGCTGTGGTCTTCTTTTAAGCAGAGGTCACTTTTACAGGTTTCTCCGTAAGGACTGAACGGCTAATTTGTTTCTTTGCTATAGCCATCGTTGCAGCAAATTCGTACAAATGCGAGCCCTAAATAAGCAGCTGCTTGAACCACGCTTCTCATTTTAACCCAGTCTATTCCGACCAGGAGCCTTGGCCTCCGTGTGACCCCAGCCTGCTTTAAAGCGGAAACTGCCTGCCTTCACCTGGTGCACCTGACTTGACGGGAGCCCAAACTGGGCCAAGCTCCTTTCATCACACTTCCAAAAATGAATCACGAATGGCTTGCTTGGCAGGCTCTTCTGCAGAACCAGAGGGGGAGCTGCCCGGAGTTTGGTATAAGATGGGCGGTTATAGAAATGCTTTGAAAAAGCGCGCTCAAATGTTGCCGTGGTCCTGAGGCTTTGTGAAACTGACAGCTAGCTGGAGGGGTAATCAGCCCCAAATTCCTTATCTGTGAGAACCATCACGATGGCTATACCAAAACGGCTGGTCCTGCCCCACACATCAGTCTTCTAAATGGTGGCCTGTTGACCAAGTAACCAGCTGGATTCACACAACCTTCTAAATCTCAATCCAATAAAAACACACAGTGCGATACATGAAATGGAGCTAGAGATCCAGCCAACTGGAGCCCAGAAAGTGAGATTCAGACCCGACCTCTGTTGAGGAAAGCTAGATTAGATGCTTCTTAATGCTTATGGCGTTATAGCTTTTCTCAAACCACAAAACCTTTAATTAACACAAACCGTGTAATTTTTAATTAACGCAATTGTCCAAAACGAAGTGCCTTTGTAAGGCTGTGATTTAAGCATTGCACACGAGCTCCCTCTCCTGACCAAAAGAGAAAAAAAAACCCACACCACCACTTATTTACTAATAAGCCAGTTGAACATGGACACATGAATACCGCAAGCGCTCCAAGGCTGGCGTCAGGTCTTCAGCACAGCTATAGCTTTGCCCCACTGGCACTGAAGGCCACGTAGGACAGCAGTTGGCAAAGCCTAGGGATGAGCTCTTAAGCTTCCAGAGTTTCCTCCCATTAACTAAACTGAGTAGGGTGCACATTTGGCTTCAAACCGATCCCGAGTACTGGAAGATGAGGAGAAGGAACCTTCTGTAAGGAGTGATGGCAAATTTTCAACCATCAAAGAGTCTGCTTGCACGCAGACAAACCAAAATACAATACTAGAAAATAAAACCAGCAGAGCTTTTAGTAGTTTTTTCCCCCAAAACTTTTACTTGGTATTTTCGGACTATTTAGAAGACCAATTTGTGAGGATAAACTCCATTGGAGAGTGAAAAGGTCGAACGCAGGTAGCCCCGGAGCTGAGGAACCTTCTTGATGACGGGCAGAAGCTGGGAGTCCACAGTCTTCTGGTCTGCCTTGCGCTGATCTGCAATCTCGTATTTCTGAAAAAACGGAAATGCTACTTCAGCCATTTATTCCTTTTCCCACGGCTGTCATAAGGGGGCCAGCGGTTCCTTCCCCATTGCCATTTTTAAACAGCAAACCTTGCCAACGTTATTTCACAAAGTGCATCCAAAATTGATTTATTTTGCTTTCCTAACACCCTCTTGGAAGAGGTTCTTTGGACTGTGACATGTTCTACAGAAACATGAAATATAGAGTGTTTCTATTTAATCTGCTTTCTTAAATGCAAAGATACTGAAAAATCTGTCTACAGATTCATAAACCAGGAGGGACTTCAGGTGCCAGCCTGACCCCTTGTTGGCTTTTGAGTTATGCAGAATGCAATCTTGGAAGCACACTCAAGGCGAGAAGCTCTATACATACCGCTTTCTCAGTATCAAAAATTTCGCCCTCTTGATGTTTGGGCTTACGCAGCTTCTTCTTCTTGAAGTAAACGTCACTGAGATGCTTTGGAACTTTGACCCCCGAGATATCAACCTTAGTCGAAGTGGCAATGACAAACTTTTGGTGAGCTCTGCGCAGAGGGACACGGTTGATAGCCAAGGGCCCTGAAAACAGAAGGCAAAATAATGTACACGGAGACGTTAGAAAACACTTATTTCTCCCCAACTTGTGAAGATTCTCCACCCTCAGGAGACAAATCTTTTACTATGGTTATTTGCTATCTTTTCTTCTTTTTATACCAAGATTCATTATGCGGAATGGTATGAAATTAAAAAGGAACGTTAACAAGGATCACAGAAAAGGAACAGAGGCCATAAACGTGAAACGAGCTTACCTGTCACAAGCAACAGTCCACTTCCAAGCTGCTTCAAGAAAACCACCCGCTGGAAACACAAAGACAAGAGGGGAGAGTCAATTGTTGGAATCCCTGCCTGCCTCCTGAATGCCCCTAACGAGAGGAGCCCCAAAGGCCCCTTACCTTGCCCCTGTGGCGGCCAGTGAGAAGGATCACCACCGTTCCTGGGGAAATCGAAGCCCGTAGCCGCCTCTTGTGGAGGGAAAAAGGTTTTTTGCCGTGGCTCAGGAGTTTTCGGGAAACGTCCTCCGTGGGGTAATATCTGGGCTGCGAGGAAGAAAAGACAGGCCTAAATTCAGGACCTTGTTAAGAATCAAAGCAGCCTCTTGAACGCAGAGGAGGACAGGAGCTCTCTCTCGGCCACATCATTTTGGCCACAAGCTCTTACCATCTTGCGAAGTTTGACCACCCGGGTGCCTCCATTCTTATCACCCCCAACAGGCTTTGTAACAGTGGCTGCCTCCTTCTCTTTCTTCTTTTTTTCTATCTGGGGAAAAAAAACACACCAAAATTGTACCCCATCATTCCTTCTCCAATTTGACTCCCCCATCACAGTCCTGGTGGATAGCCTGAGCAAGAGTGACCGGCCCAAAGTCCCCCCCCAGTGAGGTCCCTGGTGTGCTCCAACGCCACTCTCTTAACCATTAGGACCCCTGTCTCTCTTTCTGTTTGACTTCGGTGAGTCAAACTTGCAGGCAATAAAAAAAAATTGTCACTGGAGCAATCCTGTGATCTGCATCTACCCAGCTTAATGTCCTCCACGTTTAATGAGGAGAGTTATCTCGTTTACCTCCAGTATGATTAAGGCAGATCAAGAAAAGTTTGTCCGTATATTATGGCATTCTTTGGCAGATTAAAACCAATCGCTTTTGAAACACTCATCTTCCATAGATTAATCCAGTTTCTCCACCAAAGCCGCTTGAAGATGGACTTTAACTCCCATGCTGGCTGGGGAATTCTGGGAGTTGCAGTCCACCCATCTTCAAGCTGCCAAATGGTTTATACCAATCCATACCCATCCATTGTGCCAATTATCCATCCTTAACACGAAGAGTTGCAAAGTCTCCCCTCTGCTCGTACCTTTGTCTCCGGCGCGTTGTACTTCCGCTTGTACATGGCCTTCCGTGCATACATGGCCGACCGGGAATATCTCCCGATCCCTCGGGCCAACACCGGATTGCGGCTGGCATGGACCTTCCGGACCCTCCTGGTTTTCTTCTCGCCTGCCATCTAACAACAAAAAAAGGGAAACATCCATTTGCAATTTGTAACCCAAGAAAAGCCAGAGGGCTCCAGATCCTGCGTCTCGGTACCCCCTTCTAGAGACACAATTCTCCACTTCCAAAACGTTGCAAACTGATTGCACAGCTATACCAAATAGGTATTTTTTTACATACAACCTACAAGAATATATTATATATATATATTGCAAACATGCAGTCTGCAAGGAAAACTAAGGTTAACCCACTCACTTTAGTTAGGAAGTATCAAGGAATTATTGGATAGCGAGTTACAATCCAATGAGCGGAATCTTACAAGTTATAGAAGTCCCTTAATGGAAGCAAGCCTGTATTCCGATTAACCACTTAAAAATCCCAACGTCTTTGGAAGCTATAGAGACTCCCAGGACAGTTGCAAGGTTCGGGGGGGGGGGGAATCTGCCATTCGGTGCGGGCAGGGGCTGAATCCGCTTCCCCGGCCAGGGAAGGCGGCTATTCCGAAGCCCGAGGGTCGTTCCGGCCCAAAAACCTTCCTCTCTGGGATGGGCATTCCCGGCGCCCCTCCTCGCTTTCAGGGGCCTAGGCGAAGCGGCCCCGAGTGACAGGGCAGCCCGGGGAGAGCCAGCCGGCCTAATCTTTCGCTCGGCCCCAGCAGAAGCAGCCCGGCGCCTCCCGCGCAAAGCCCCCGGAGCCTCCCCGCCCGGCCTATGCCCGGCCCGGTGGTTCTCCGAGGCGGATGGCGGTGGATGCCGACGCCGGGCCCCGGGAAGCCAGCGCCACGGCCGCACCATCCTTACCTTGGGCAGAAGGAAAAAGAGGCAGTATCCGGGGCTTCGGCGCTGAAGAGCAGGCGCGTGACGTCACCGGGCGTGCCCCCAAGCACTCTGGGAGAGGTAGTTCACTTCGTGCAATGCGCCCTCCCGAGAGCCGACTCAGAATTCGAGGCGGTTTTCCTCCGTCATTCGTGCCATTCCCGTTTTATTTCCTACAGGCCTTATTCAGTGGTCATCGATTCCAGTGCTGGCTGGAGAATTCTGGGAATCGAAGTCCACAAACCTTAAAAGTTTGAGAAACACTGATTGAAGGGCTGCCTATCATAACAGAAAACCTCCCTTGATAAAATAGTTATGATTCCTGCGGCGCAACAATAACAATGAATACATATTATACTTTATTTCTTTCCTGAGCAAGGCCGCCCAGGACAGGGCAACGCAATGGGCTGGAGAAGACGAGGCCCATTGGGCACTGAAAGGGTGCTCGCTACAGAGACGCCGCAGCCTAGAGCGGAAAGCGCGTTCCCACCGTGTGGCCGTTCTAGGCGCCGCCTGCCTCTATGCTCAGAACGACTGGCGACCCCGCCCCTTCCTTGCCATCCCGAGAGGGGGGGAGCCTGGTCGCGCGGCGATGACGTCTTAGGCATCGCGACGGATCGCTCCTCGGGGCTCTTTCTGCCTTCCCCTCTCCCGGGCCTGGATGTAGCCGGGCCCGGGCCGACTTCGGTTCGCCTCCTCCCGGGCCGGGCTCCCCGCGGGACCCAGGGGCCCCATGTGAGGAAGACGGAGGCGGGAAGATGACCTCGAGGAGGTGAGAAGCGGGGGGGGGAGGGAAAGAGAGGAAGGCTCAGGCCCCGCCCCTTCGGGGGGGAGGGGCGCCCAGCTTGCCTCCCTCCCTCCCTCCCCAGGGCCGTTGCCATGGGGACGAGGGGGGCGCGGGGCAGTCTGCGTGTCACCCCCCACCCCCCCACCGTGGAGGGCCTGCTGCTGACTTTCTGGGTCCAGATGTGCGGGACTACAATACCCATCCTTCCCTCCCAGAGGAGCCTGGCCCGCGGGGGTCGCCCAGCATTTCCAGCCTGCTTTGGCTCCTTCTCAGGGCAGCCGCCCCTGGTGGCAGCCACCACAGCTCCCATCCTCCCCAGCCAGCAGGTCCCAACACGGTTTCTCCCTGGTGTGACAGCCTGTAGCTTCCCAAACCCTTCTGGCTGCGGAGGATGGGGGCTGTGATCCAAAAGGAGGAGCTTGTGGGGGGGGGGGAGTCTGAGACCACCAGGAAGTGGAGGATGGAGGCCGCTGCCCCCAGTTGAAGCCAGAGGGGGGAGAGGACGGAGGCTCCAGAGAGGCTTCCCGGGGAGAAAACCTTCCAGCCTTGGTTGCTCAGGCTGAGCCCTTTCACCAGCACGGCCAAGCTGATCTCTTACTTTCACTGCCCCAATGTGTGGCCGGGTAGTGATTAAAGGGGGGGGGGTTGGAGCTGACCAAAGCCACTCACAGGGGCTCCAAAGGGGACCCAAGGTGAACGGAAGTGGATGGCCGAGATACGGTACAATGAGACTCCTTATCTGTTGCCTTTAAGCCTGGGATGGGTAACCTCTGACCCCGGCTCCCAAAACCTAATATTCTAAATTTTGAGCTAAAATTATCCCCTAAATTATTTTGCAGTAGGAAGCAGGAAAAGTGCATTGCAAATCTTAAAACAGCCACATCGCATTTGAGGGGGGGGACTCTCAAAACTTCTCCATAAACTTGATGTAAGGTAAATAAACAAATTTAAGAAACTGGAGGTAGCTTCTATAAAACAATAAATAAAATTTATAAGATTATAAAATAAACAATTTTGGCGGACACGATAAGCAAAACAGAAGCACTCTGATGCTGAGGGGATGGGGTGAAATGGTGCCGTTTTTTAATTGTACAAGGCAAGAACCAAGAAATGAGAAATAACTTTTCAGCAGTGTTCCAATTATGATAAAACCAGACTTCTCAACCAAATGTGATAAGAACATTCTACTCCATAACTGAGTACCAATTAGGAGAAAATGACTTTAACATGTTCTTTTAAGAACAGCCCAATTATTTTTCTCTTCAAAAATTTACAGTGAACTCACCTCTCATTACTTCATTATGAGGCTCTCAGTAGAGTAATTGCAGGAGATTTTTCTTTATAAAATCCCATCCAGACTCTCAAAAATAGGATCCCTTTTTCTCTGGAAAAAGAGTTATTTCCTGCATTTTCTCTGCCTAATTATCCATTACCAGTTTTGCTAGTTTAGTGTTAGAGTTCATCTATTAGCATAGGGAGTGCTGATCATGTTTTCAGATGAACTAGTTCAGTGTGACTTAACATACGTTCTGATGTATGAATAGTTAATGCTGGATCCTTTTTTTTTTTTTTTTTTAAATTAATAGCCTCCTTTATATTTTGCTAAATGTCCAAATACCGGCTCTTGGAAAAGCTAGCTCTACAATTCTTTTTAACAGCCATTCTTGAAACAGTCTTAAACTTGCTCCAATCCCAGCACCGTCTTTCTCTCCTGGGGTTGAAAAAAAGAGTCCAGCCCACCCCCAACTGGGTAGACTTATCAGCCTAAAATGTGCGCGTTCCATTTTGTGGGCTCCTTTGATCCTGTCTCCGGAACCACTTGGCATAACTGGCCGGCCTACAGCTGACTTGAGACACCCCCGGAGCCTTCTATTTCCAACTGGTGACAAAATGCTGCTTCCCACTTGGTGACAAATATACCCAGAGCGCCAGGGAGCTTTGCCATCCGTGCTGGAAATAGAATCCTTGCCTCGGTCGGTCGATTGGTCGGCCGTCCCCGGAAGTTGCTCTCTGCCAAAAGGTTGCAGGACAGTGCTTTTTATGGCCCCCACCTTCGCCCTTCCGCAGTGGCTCTGCTCATCCTGCCGTCACAAAAAAACCTTCAAAATTCTGAGCTGGTCATCAGTGGGTAGCCTGAAGTATTCCGAGGGTGATCCCTGAAAGTTGTTAATTCAGTTGGTCCTTGATTTACAACCACAGTTGAGCCTGAAATTTCCATTATTAAGCAAGACAGTTAAGTTTGTTAAGCGATTTGCTGCCCTTGTTAAGTGAATCATGTGGTCGTTAAGTGGATCTGGCTTTCCCCCGTTGATTTTGCTTGTCGGAAGGTGGCTGGGAAGGTCGCAAGGGGTGATCACATGACCCTGGGACCCTGCAACGGTCATAGGTACGTGCCAGTTGCCAAGTGCCCAACTTCTGATCACGCGACCCTGCCCAACCCAGTCCTGTTCCTCTGTCCACTAACTGCATGTCTCTGTGGAAGAGTATAAATATGCCCATTACCCATCCGAGTTAACTCCCTGGGCCTTTGAGAAACGTCAGGCTTTCCCCCTCAAGTGGGAGAGTACAGATTTAGCCAAAATGTTGACTTAGTTAACCAGATTTCTAAAAATAAGCCAGACCCGGTTGATAGGAGAGGAGGCGAATGAAGGTTCAGCCCCTTGGGGGAGACCTTCAACCAGCAAGGTGCTGGCTTAGTTGACGAGAAGGGTGTGGCTGTGGGTGCAAGCATATATGGAGCCTGTTTGCACTGGAGTGAAGAGAGGGGCCAGGCTCAGCTAAGCCATATAGCCCCTTCCTTCTTCTTCTCCTCCTCCTCCTCCTTTTCCTCCTGACCCTCCAGCAGAATCCAGAATCAGATCAACTCTCAGAACGGGAGCAGATTCCTGGTTACAAGGCAACAATGAGGTGGTAGCTGCCTTCTCAGTTTCTCTTGCTGGTTGTGTGGGAGCAACTGGTGGTCTTAATCAGCTTCCCATGGACGAGGAGATGTCTCTGCATTCGGATTGTTTCATCCCACTTTAATCCTGGTTTGCAAGAGGCCGGTTCTTACTCCCATCCAGTTTTCCCTGCTCCCTGAAAGGGGCAGAAATCATGGCAGGACAGCAGCAAGCCACCTGCTCTGGTACAAGAGATCTCAGGTCCAAATGAAACAGTCTGAATCCTCGGGGGCTTCTTCATTGCCCTTATCCACAAAGTAGACATGTAGCATCCTTGTAGCAATGTTTTATGGGGAAGGTGTACCCTCAGATTTTTGTGCCTGGTTTCCTTCTGTGGGTAACGCTTCCCACGTCTTTTTCTATCCGCATTCTTTTTTCCTTTTTTTAGTCTATTTTTTTCACTTTTTCTTTTATCTTTTTTTTACGTGTTTTCATGTTTTATCTTTTACTTCTGTAAAAGCTTTCAATCAAAATGATATTTTTTTTAAAAAAAGGAAACCCTTTTCTCTTAACTAAAAGTGACCTTTCAAAACCCTCCCCTCCTTTTCTCTTTTCCCAGATGGTTTCACCCCAACATTACCGGAGTGGAAGCGGAGAACCTGCTCCTGACCAGAGGAGTTGATGGCAGCTTCCTGGCTCGGCCCAGTAAAAGCAACCCGGGGGACTTCACCCTTTCAGTCCGGTAAGTCCACTGAGAGGACCTGGTAGCCGTCTTGGGGCTTTCTAAAATTTAATGTCATTTTACAGACAGGTTTTAAAAAACAGAAGTAAATGGTTTAAGTAGATAAGTCTCTTGGGGAGGCTGCCTTACAGCAAGTGCAAGCAGTAAGAGAATAACATCCATCTTTGCAAGATGCTCCCAGCTAAGACCTCCCTCCCTCCCTCTCCAAGAATGTTCAATAGGGAGGCGGGAGGTTTGGAGTCAGCCCTGCTCTCCCTCCCCAGGAGGCTACCAGTAGAAGGCCGTTTTCATTGCCATCAGCTCTCGTTTCTCTTCTCTCTTCCTCTTGACCGTCTGGACCGGCCAGGCGCAATGGGGCGGTCACTCACATCAAGATCCAGAACACGGGCGACTACTATGACCTCTACGGGGGGGAGAAGTTTGCCACGTTGGCGGAGCTGGTCCAGTACTACATGGAGCACCACGGACAGCTCAAGGAGAAGAACGGGGACGTGATTGAGTTGAAGTACCCGCTCAACTGTGCGGATCCCACTTCTGAAAGGTGAGCAGGGCGGCAGCATCAGGGAGCCCGGCTTGGGTGAGGTCCATCCTGGGCGGAAGGGCCTGGAGGCAGTCCAGAAGCCATGCAGTTCCCTCTGCTGAGATTCAGGTCTTACGGGCTGTGGGGACAGGTATTTCTCAACTTAAAACCATTCGTTTAGTGACTGAAGCTAAATAGCCCTGAAATAAGTGACTTGCGATCATTTTTCATACTTATGTCCATTGCAGCATACCCCTGGTTAAAATTCAGACACTTGGCAACTAACTCGTGTTTATGACGGGTTGCAGGGTCGCGGGGTCATGTGATCCGCATCTGACGAGCAAAGTCAATGGGGAAGCCAGATTCACTTAATAACCATGTTACTAACTTAATTGCAGTGATTCACTTAATAACTGCGGCAAGAAAGGTTATAAAATGGGGCAAAATTCACTTAACAACTGAAATTTGGTGCTCAGTTGTAGTCATAAGTCAAGGACGACCTGTATCACCGAACTCTCTGGACTCGACGCCAGTTCCCACCCTTGGGAAGGAGGTGGGGAGGTGGGGACAGAGCAGCATCTCCTACCTTAATTGCCTTAATAGGAGCTCCTTTTCAAAATCGGTACATTTCCCTCTTAATCTGCTCTCAGCGGCTTCTGCTGCCTCAAGAGCGAGGGAACTTTCTCCCTTTCAAAGGCAGCTCTGATTTTGGGAAGCCTCTCTCTTGCAAAGGGCCAGGGAAGCTACTCGGGGCTCCCTGACTCTTTTCTCTGCCTCCCCACAGGTGGTTCCATGGTCACCTGTCTGGAAAGGAAGCGGAAAAGCTGCTGACGGAAAAAGGGAAGCACGGCAGCTTTTTAGTCCGCGAGAGCCAAAGCCATCCGGGGGACTTTGTGCTTTCCGTCCGGACCGGGGATGACAAAGGCGAGAGCAATGATGGGAAGTCCAAAGTCACGCATGTCATGATCCGTTGCCAGGTAACAGCGCAGGGATGGGGAGGTGAAATAAGGCCGGAAGCCTTTGTGGTGGGGGTTTCTCCATCAGTCCAGAGGGGGAAAGGATAGGGCCAGTTCTCTTGATAGTTCGCCTTGGTTGGGAGACAGCTTGTGAAAGGCCAGGGCCTCTCGGTAAATCAGAACCTGCCTTATCATATCCTTTGTTGGATAAAAAGCCGTCCGGTTCGTCAGCCAGATTTTGCTTATGGAGGAGTGGTCTAACCTTGGAACTTTAGGACTTATGGGCTTCAGAATTCCCCAGCCAGCATGGGTGCCCTCTGGAGCAGAAGTGTGCAATCTTGGCAACTTTAAGACCTGTGGACTTCAACTCCCAGAATTCCCCAGTCAGCATGGGGAATTCCTCCAGCTGAGGAATTCTGGGAGTCGAAATCTACAGGTCTTAAAGTTGCCAAGGTTGCACACCCTTGGCTTAAGGAAACAGCAGCTGCAAGACCTGTCTGGTACCTCTGCAGCATGTGGAAAAAGGGAATGTATGAATGAATGAATGAATGAATGAATGAATGAATGAATGAATGAATGACCCAGCTAAGTTGGAATTGTGTGTCCACTGTCTCAAAAGTGAAGGTGGCTTTTTTTGGCCAAGACTGCTTCTAATCACTGCCATGGTGATGTAACTCAGTTAACCAGTGGATTAAGAATAACTTAGAGAAATTTAGACTCTTTAGAAGTTAGGTAGATCTTAAGCAACCTTGAGGAAAGCCTCCAAAGTAGCTCAAATCCCTCCCCACCTTCCAGTGAAACCCACTAGCCCTCTGCCTCTCCCTCCCTCCCTCCTTAGGATATGAAGTATGACGTTGGAGGAGGGGAGAAGTTTGACTCCTTGACAGACCTGGTTGAGCATTACAAGAAGAACCCAATGGTGGAGACTCTGGGGACTGTCCTTCAGCTGAAGCAGGTGAGGAAGGCCAGCCATGGTTGACTGAGAACTCTTCATTGGCGGTCTCTGCCGATGGTCATAACGCCCGGGTGTTCCTGTTGTCCTTGCTTCTCCCTTTCCACCACTGGTGGAAATCAATCACCACCACCGCTGGTGGGAATCACTTGGGGTTCATTGCCGCCTGCCTTTTGCCGAGCATGGCAGCATCTCTCTTGTAATTAGCGGGGAATCCACTTCGCAAGCTGGATAATTCACAGCCTTCCTGGAAAGTTTGTGGCTTGATGCTGTGACATTCAGAGACTTTAGATCCCAGTCTAGCTTCCAGCTGACCCTGGGATGGCTTCTGTCCTTGCGGGCTGCTTGGCTCTTCCTTTCGATGTGTGGTGGAATCTGGAGCTGACATGCAGGAGGGAGAGGCTTTCCCAAGGAGCTCAGAGGCAAATCAGCCTTGAGTCCTTGATTTGGAGGATAAGGACCAGAAGGGATCCTCCCTAAATCTTCCCAGGTGTTATTTGATAGTCATGCAGAGTGTGCTTTAGTCTGGCAAGATTCCTGTTCACAGGCAAACAGCAATAAACTACTGTGAGCAATCCACAGTATCATTCTTGATTCCTTGTGCCTGACATGTGCATTATTTGACCACCCCCCTCTGTCTCTCCCTCCCACCCCACCCCCGCTAGCCTCTCAACACCACCCGCATCAACGCAGCTGAGATTGAGAGCCGGGTGCGAGAACTGAGCAAGTTGGCTGAAACTACCGACAAAGTGAAGCAAGGCTTTTGGGAAGAATTTGAGGTACTTTCGGGAGAGAATATATGTCCTGTCCTCACCCGGGACCTTCTTCTTGCTGGCCTTCGGTGGGATTGAGAAGTGTGACTGTCCCTTTGGCAGCTGGGGAGGGGCCGCAGGCATCTAGATGCTCTGGGGGTGGGGGTGGGGTTAACAGAATGTGAGCTCTTAAGGAAATCTTCGGAGCAGTTTGTAAACCAAGATAAGGGTAAACAGATAAGGCCCTTTTGGGTTGCATGGAAAGAGCTGGGCGTAAGTCTTCAACTCCCAGCATTCCCCTGTTGAAAAACACCTAGTGGGTAGAGCTGGATGCATTCATATGAAAATGTCCGTATTAGAGATTGATTTGGCTTGTGAATTTGGCTGCTGGCAGTCTGGAACTCGGAGCCTTTAATTGCTCGGAGACCGAGTGAGCTGCTCTCAGGCAGAAAAGGGCCCCTTGAGAGGAGACTGGCAACCTTTTCTCTCTCTAGGACACAACGCCTGAATTCCCCCTGCTTTTCCTACAGAGGCCCAGAGCCCGTCTCTGTGTTATGCCAGGATGGGAACACTAGGGGGAGCCCCAGTTCCATTTGGTCATCTTGGGAAGCTCACCTGTTTTAACCTGGCCGGCCAGAAGCGATGGGCATTGTAATCCAGACTAGGAGAGGCTTCTGGGTGGAGGAGACACCTTCTGGCTCTCTTCCCCTGCTTGAGGGGTGGGTGGGTCAGAAGGCGGTTCCCGGACCCTTCACTGTTTTGCTCTTCCTTGTTTTTCCAGACTCTCCAGCAGCAGGAATGTAAGCTCCTCTACAGCCGGAAAGAAGGGCAGCGCCAGGAGAATAAGAACAAGAACAGATACAAAAACATTTTGCCTTGTGAGCATGGATCTCTTTCCACTTCCTAACTCCGGGGGTGGGGATGGGGGGCGCTAGCAAGTAGACATTTGGGGTGGGCCCAACTCTTCTTCCCATTTTTAAAGGCGTAATATCATTTTTCTCGGCCTTTATGCAAACAGCAGAGGGATATCCTGCTTCTGTGACTGCATTGCTGGCATTTGAGCAGAAAAATCCCTGCAAACTTTAAGGCAACCGGGGAAAGGGGGCCCAGGGAGCCATCTGCAGCCTGCTCACTGGACGCCCCTTTCCTAAAAGCTGGGATTTTGCTGGAACCTTTGTTTCCTGCAATTGAATTCTCTCTCAGGAACGTGGAGGTCCTGGCATCTGTTGTGGGGCAGTCTGGGACCCACGGCAGAGGCCTGATGTGCTGGAGGCTACGGATATTTGCAGCCCGATGGAGCTGCAGGGAATCAGTGATTTTATATGCAGAAAATTGCAGGCTCCGTTTTAGCATCTCCAAGCATCTCCACGGCTGCCAAGGACTCTTGATTTCTGCCATCCTCCCGGCAACTGCCTGAATGGCTGCTGGCAGCTCAAGAGTTGGCGGTTGCTGCTTGACAACTGTTCCCTGGATTAGGAGTCTGTCTTTGTCCTCGCTTTCTAGTTGACCACACCCGGGTTGTCCTTCACGACGGCGATCCAAATGAGCCAGTTTCGGATTATATCAATGCCAACATCATCATGGTAAGAGGGTCGCCCTCCTACCGGGGAAGTTTGAGTGGACCACCACTTTCTTCTCTGGTGGGGCAGGATGACCTCGCTCGGAGTTTCCCCAAACAGAGCAGGAGGGACATCCCCCCCCCGAGCTTTTCCTCCAAGGGTGGGAGCGGGCCTTAAGTCTCCCAAAGGCCCCCCTCCCTCCGCGGATGAGACGCCTGCTGATGCTCCCGTTGTTCCACAGCCGGAATTTGAAACCAAGTGCAACAATGCCAAGGCCAAGAAGAGCTACATCGCCACCCAGGGCTGCCTGCAGAACACGGTGAACGACTTCTGGCGGATGGTCTTCCAGGAGAATTCCCGTGTGATCGTCATGACCACAAAGGAAGTAGAGAGGGGGAAGGTAAGGCTAGTGGAAGGGATCCACCACTCCCCGGGATCAAGGGGAGAACAGCAGCTCAGGCAGGGAATTTGAATCCAATGCTTTATTTGGTCAAGTGTGATTAGACTCACAAGGGATTCCTCTCGGGTGCAGAAGCTCTCAGTGTACATGCAAAGCAACAACAGAATAATATTAATAATTGCCCTCAGCCGCCCACCCCCAAATTTGCCACTTGAATTAAACATGAGCTTCCATAAGCCTTTGTTCTCCTTCCCTTGCTAGCTGAAGATCAAGTAAGGTACTAAGACCACTCTATAAAGCCTTAGTAAGGCCACACTTGGAATCCTGCATCCAGTTTTGGTCACCACACTATAAAAAAAGATGTGGAGACTCTGGAAAGAGTGCAGAGAAGAGCAACCAGGATGATGAGGGGACTGGAGGCTCAAACATACAATGAACGGTTAGAGGAACTGGGCATGGCTAGTCTAGTGAAGAGAAGGACCAGGGGAGACATGATAGCATCTTCCAATACTTGAGGGGCTGCCCCAGAGAGGAGGAAGGGGGTCAAGCTATTCTCCAAAGCACCCAAAGGCCAGACAAGGGAGAATGGATGGAAACTGACCAAGAAGAGATTCAACTTAGAAATAAGGAGGAACTTTCTGACAGTGAGAGCAATCAACCCGTGGAACAGAAGTTGCCTTCAGAAGTTGTGGGAGCTTCATCACTGGAGGCTTTCAAGAAGAGACTGGACTGCCACCTGTCAGAAATGGTGTAGGGTCTCCGGCTTGAGTGGGGGGTTGAACTAGATGACCTCCAAGGCCCCTTCCAACTCTGTTCATCTGTTAATCCCCCCCTGGCCCCCTCCCTGTTCTTCCAGAGCAAATGTGTGAAGTACTGGCCGGATGAGCAGGCCCTGAAGGAATACGGTGTGATGCGCGTCCGTAACGTCAAAGAGAGCACGGCTCACGACTACACACTACGAGAACTCAAGCTCTCCAAAGTTGGGCAGGTGCGTTTCCGGAAGATGCCGAGCGACCGTCAGCCAGGCATCTCGGCCACGTGGTGAAAGGGGTGGGGGCTGACATGGAGAAGGAGCTTGGATTGAGGGGCGTCCATGTGCTTTCTCCCACACCGCTGTTGTGTTTTTCGATGGGCCTCTGGAGCTTCCCCACTTCTGCTGATTTTGGAGGCGAGGCAGCTCCTCCCGCCTCTGAGGGACTCATCAAAGCACCTCTGGGGGGGGCTCTCTTCCAGGGCAACACCGAGCGGACAGTGTGGCAGTATCACTTCCGGGCTTGGCCTGACCATGGGGTGCCCAGCGATCCTGGCGGCGTCCTGGATTTTCTAGAGGAGGTGCACCACAAGCAGGAGAACATTGCAGAGGCTGGTCCGGTCGTCGTCCATTGCAGGTACCAGTAAAACCGTGTTTCTCAACCTTGGCAACCTTTAAGCACTGTGGACTTCAACTCCCAGAATTCCCCAGCCAGCTTTGCTGTTGGAGTTGAAGTCCACCCAGCTTCAGGCGGCCTTAGGTTGAGAAATACTGCAGGAAAAACGGAAAGGTTGCTCAGCCTGAGAAGGAGGAACAGGACTCGAACCCGTGTGACGGTCTCTCTCTCTCTCTCTCTCTCTCTCTCTCCCACCCCACAGTGCCGGAATCGGTCGGACTGGGACGTTCATTGTGATCGACATTCTCATCGACGTCATCCGGGAGAAAGGTGAGTCCCAGCAGACCGACTGCTTCACCACCTCAAAGGTTGAGAGGAAGACCACGGCTGGTCGTTGTGTGTGGAGTACACGCATCTGTTACGGTGTTGGCTGATTCCATACACACACACACACACACACACCCATAGGCCAGGTTTCCTGGGATTGTAGTCTCACAACCCGTGGAGGAGCGCAGGGCTGATGGGTGCGTGTGTGGGTACATATTGCCCTGAGCATAATTGGGGCTTTTGAGCACCAGGCATTAAGTGAAGCCAGCCATGGCGTTTTCTGGATCATGGTTTATGGGATGGACATGCCACAGGCACAATGGCTTGTTTGGAAACCACAATTCAAGCCAGTCCCTGTGGTTGCCCCAAAGGGACAATTTTTCCAAAAGGCACCTGGACTTCCTTGGTTTTCTTCTTTGAGAACGGAAGAAGCTTCTTGAGTGAGAAAAGCGAAAGGTTTTCAAGGAAAAATCCAAGAAACCCCAGCTGTCTTTGGGGGTGGGGGGTAAAAACGCCCCTATGGCCTGGATGAGTGAGAATCACCATAGACGAATCCGTGTGGTTTGGGAACTTGAGTAAGAGTCCTCCGAAGGGGCCCTTCCCCATTCTCTCCAGCTGAGCCCATCTCCCTCCCTCTCTTCTCCCCTCCAGGGGTGGACTGCGACATCGACGTCCCGAAGACCATCCAGATGGTGAGGTCCCAGCGGTCAGGGATGGTGCAGACCGAGGCCCAGTACCGGTTTATTTACATGGCCGTCCAGCACTACATCGAGACGTTGCAGCGCCGGATTGAGGAGGAGCAGGTACCAAAAAAGGAGAACCTTTGTAGCTCAGGGTTGAGCTGTGGGGTCCTTGGTGCTCTCTGAGCTGCATGGTTTTCTTGCAGGCGTTTTATGACCCTACTAGGTAGCAGCATCAGTGCTAGAAGGCAATGGGGTTTGCGGACAGGGGGAGGAGGAGAACTGTGGGGTCCTTGGTGTTCTCTGAGCTTGGTTGTTTTCTTGCAGACATTTCATGACCCAACTAGAGAACATCATCAGTGCTGGTCAAGTCTAGTTACTAGCACTGATGATTTGACCTCGTTTGGATAATGTAACATCTGCAAGAAAACCTCCCAGCTCAGAGACACCAAGGACCCCTCAGGAACAGGTTCCTCTGGCCTACCTAGCAGGGAAGGTGGTCTCTTTGGCTCTGGGGCTGAAAGCCGGGGCCGAGAGTCGGAGGGACTTCGGCCAAGAAGAGTTGGAGGAAGGCAGAAAACAGACATCCACACCCCACACCCCCCGGGTGTATTTGTTGCCTTCTCCTCTCTTAGTGGCCCATAGGAGAGACGGCAGCTTTGTCACCAAGTGGCTACCCTGCTAAAGTGTTTGACCGGGGATTGACCAAGATCTAACCTGGGATGAGCCAAATTCACCCATCAGAAGAAGCCATGAGACAGGGGGCTGTCTAGTCCTGGCAACCAAGTTTCCCCATCTTGGGAATCCTGAAGCAACCAAGCCTCCTTATGTTAGGTGGGGGGTGGAGAAGTGGTGGAATTAAGGGGAGGGGGCTCTTTGAGAAGAACCAAGAGCGCGTTGCTTGCTGGGAGGGACATGACGGTGATTCTTCCCCCCTCCCTTTCAGAAGAGCAAGCGGAAAGGACACGAGTACACCAACATCAAATACTCCTTAGCGGATCAGGCCAGCGGAGACCAAAGTCCTCTCCCGCCGTGTACTCCCAGCCCGGCCTGTCCCGAGTGAGTAGTGGCCTCGCCGCCCGTCCCCTCCCTCAATTGCTTGAACTCTCCCAGATCCAAAAGGACGGCAGGGAGAACCTTGGTATGACAGGGTTCGGGGTTCTGAATTTCTCCTTGAACCCCCCACCCCACCCCGCTTTCCAGGATGAGGGAGGACAACGCCATGCGAGTTTATGAGAACGTCGGTCTGATGCACCAGCAGAAAAGCTTCAGATGAGACGACGGCGAGAGTTTCCACGTGAGGAAGGCAAGTCTAGATAATGGGGTTCCTGCGGGACTGACCTTAAGCAGCCGGGGAGGGCAGATCAGCGTCAAAGGGCGAGTCTGGGGGGCAGTTTTCGCCGTCTCCAGGGAGAAAAATCCCAGGAAGAGGAAAATTGAATAAACCCAAGCTGCTAGTCCTCAGGAAAAGGGAATATTAGTCTGGTCTGAGATCCTTATCTGAGGGTGGGTCTTAATAAACCCAAGCTGCTAGTCCTCAGGAAAGGGAAATATTAATCTAGTCTGAGATCTTTGTCTGAGGGAGATCATCTTAAATCTCCCAAATGGAGGTTTCCTGTCTAGTATTCTGTTCCAGAGATGATCTCAAGATTCTCTCTTAAAATTGGAGGGAGAGGAGATTTTATGAATTTTTCCACCATCCCTCTTGTGATTCTTCCCTTTGGGCTTCTGCCCAACACAGTCCTGTTTATTTACTTATTTTCATTTATTTATCACATTTAAGAAACCTCCCTGCTCCCTCCAGAGCAGAGGTACGATAAAAGAAGTCATTAAAACGTCGTTGAGACCCGAACTGGAGGCAGGAATAAAAAGCCGGAGGGTTGGGAAAACGCAGCCGCCCAGGGATTGTGACTTGAGTTTCCACGGCGGCTGCTCTCGCTCTCTCCAGGCTCAGAAGGCAGGATATGTCCGTGTGGGGTGTCTCTCGTCTAAAAGGCCTTTCTCTTCCTGTCCTCTTTGCAGAATTGAAATGCCGCTCTCTCTCTCTCTGTCTCTCGTTTTTTTTAAAAAAACAAGGAAGCGAAACAAGCTGGGCTCCGTCCCTTGAAGACCTCTGCCTAGAGCCTTCTTCTTATTTATGACGTTTTAACCCTTCAATAATAAGCGGAACTTAAGATCTCCTTTCAAAGAAACTCCTAATTCGTTTTCTTTAAAAAAAACAACTCTCGTTTTTACAACTGATTTTTGTTTTTTGTTGATGCCGTTTTCCCTCTGGAACATACGATTATTATTTTTATTTTTATTTTTGCCTCCAATGCAGACCAATACTTTGTTGTACTTGAACGTTGTTGGGTTTTTTTTCCTTCCCCCCTTTCTTTCTGTCCTGGACTCAAGAGGCTTTTCTTTTATTTTTTTTTTGAACTGTTCCAAATTTGTTTTTGTTTTTTCAAAGCTATCTCTTTCCCTTAAAATATATATATATATATATATATATATCAGAAAAATAAGTTGTGGGACAACTGATACTTTGGGGAAGAAACCAGTTATGTTAATCAGGAGGCATCCAGGGCCGTTTCCAAGCCAACTAACTCTCTGGAAGGCGGTCTGGCTGTCCACAGATTTGATCAAGTTTCTAGTCCTCGTGAAATTCCACGCTGGGGGTCTTTTTTTTTTTTCCTTGTTCCTTGAAACGATAAATTCTAGAACTTCCAATGATGCGTTTTTGCACCAGATTAAACCGGTTTTTTTAGAGCCTGTTCCGTCGGCTGGCTCTTTGCTGTCGGGGCGAGGGGGGGCACTTGGGGGTGGGTGGGATTTCAGCCAGGAGGGATATCCTGACACCCTCCCTCCCCCTCGGATGCTTAGTGACTTCTCCAAAGGATCATCACCTCTCCACGAATCCCTTGTGAGCATTCCTGGATTCACCCAGGCCTCCGTCATATCAAGAAGAAGAGGAAGATGAAGAAGGATGAAGAAGATGATAAGCTGATTTTTTTTGAAGGGGGGGGGAATGTCTGAATGGAGCTTCGGAACGACTCACCCTGTCTGCTTTTCCAATTTCCACCACATCGTCTTCAAAGGACAAACGGGGGTCCCCCATCCAGCTTTTGAAAGAGAGCCCTCTTTGGTGGGTCTTTTTTCGTCTGCTCCCCCCAAGCCAAATCCAGCTGGTGTAGCGATGCCCAGCATAGGGCTATTACGCACCTCAAGCCAGTCGCCTTCTTCATGGTGGACAGCAGGGTGGAGAAGGAGATTTGAGGTGGGAAAAGGAAGTCCAGGGGTCTCTCTTGGCTGGCTGGGTCGGTGGGTTGGGATGCTGCCCAGAGAGCAGGAACCAGCAATCTCGAGAGTTTCTGGGTGTTTGAGGAGGGGGTCCGCAGAGGGTTGCTGTTTCTTTCCAGGGTCTCTGCGCCTGGACAGTCTGATAAGGAGGAACCTGGCTTCGTTGTGGTTTTAAGGCAAGGATCCCCAACCTTGGCCGCTTTAAGACTTCAACGCCCAGAATTCATGCTGGCTGGGGGATTCTGGGAGTTGAAGTCCACAAGCTTTAAAGAGGCCAAGGTTGGGGCCCCCTGCTTTAGGGGATGCTCGCTTGTTTTTGAAGTCAGCGCTGCTCAAATCGGCTTCTTGTCTGGGCTGCCTGGTCCTTGTGCTCACCACAATAGTCCCAACCTCCCTTCGGCACTTGGGGAAAAAGCCACAAAGGCCATTTGTGGGTCTCTTGCTTCTGCTCTAACTTCCCTGCAGAGCTGGGTTCCCCCCCCCCCTCTTTTTATCCAGCTTCTGTAATCTAATCGTGGGAGGATCGAGCCCCAATTATGGTGTGAGGGGGTACCTGTTGTTCTTTTGCCTCCTCTTTTCTTCTGGTTCTTTCCTAAGACGTTGCTCCTCCTCTTCTTCTGTGGCCTTTCCAAGCGGTCTCCTTTCCTTCCTTTTTAATTTATGAACACCCTTGTGACTTAAAAGAAAAGAAAGCAAGCAAACAAATGCAGAGGCCTCCGTGAGAGGAGACTTGTGTATTTTTCCCCTGGCTAGGAACAGCTCTTCCCCTCTTATCCTTCCTCCTCCTTTCCGAGCAGCGTATGAAGTATTCTACCCAGAGTATTACATGAAATGTAAACGTAAATGGAGATTTTTTTAAAAAAAATAGGCAACTCTTTCCTTGAAAAGGGCCTGCCTGTAAAGAACATTGTTGGTTTGTACACCAATCAAAGTGCAGGCTCCCACGTTCAGGGAAGTGGGGGGGGGAAGGGGGTGTTTCCCAGCTGATGTGAGACCTGTTGGAATTGGGGTCATGGCTTAAGGGGCTGGTGGGGTCTCCCCAGCTGTGGCCCCTGTTGTAGCCCCCCGTCCGCTGCCTTTCGGCTGCCAATCCCCTAGGCGGTTCCGTGGCGGTTTGGCGCGTGCCATTCATCAGACGACCAACCGACCGATCACGTCCAGGAAAAAACAAACCTCCAGATGTCTGTTTGTGGACTCTTATTTATGGGTGTTGAGTGTAGCTGCGTTGCTGGCTGTGCTGAGAATTTTTTTTTAAAAAAAATTGCGCCAAGGCTTCTCGGGAGTACAAAAAACAAAAAGCGCTGTTTGTAAAACACCAGAACTTAATAAATGAGTAAATAAATAAATACATTTTCTTACCCCCCGTTTCCTAAATGCTTTTCTCCAGCGGGGCTGGCTTAAATCGGACCCAGTGAATAAGACCAGTGCTCGAATTTTGCTGTGTGAAAACTTTGTCCTGGAGTCCTGATGATGCAGGGGGAGCTATCAATTACGCAAGGCTGGGCCGCTTGAGAACTGGTGTTTCCCCCACGGCCGGCCTTCCGCTCAAACAGAATTCAGCCTCTTTGCACCAGGAACGGGAGGGGAAGCTGGAAAGCAGGGCCTTTCCCCAGAAGTGCACATCTGTCTGGAGAAGAACGTAACGAGAGACGATCCAGGAAGGCCATTTGCTGAACTTTTCAATCATGAGGACTAGAGTATTGCAAACGTCAAACTGTTTGATCAATCCGTCTTTGGGGCCAAGGCAGCTTAGTAGCATTTTGTTCTTAATTTTTTTTGGGGAAGAACGAGATGTAGGTTAGACGAGGTTCTCTTCTCAAAGCGCATTAGACCTGGATGTCCAGAAGGATCAACAATCTGATTTTGCAGAGAGAGAGAGAGAGAGAGACGCAAACGAGCGGATGTTTTCAAGGCAATGAAGAGGGGGGGGTTATCAGAGCCCCCCAACCTCAGGACCTGAGCCCCCAGATCTGGTTCGCCAGACTCCTGGCGTTCTTTCTGTCTTTACTACTCTAGTCCCTGAGCTGGTTTCCTTTGTATTTGAAGAGTTGCTCTAGTTGGGCAGACTTTGTGCCATTCCTTGCTTCCCCTCGGCCTGACTGACACCTCCAAGCATCAGCGAGGACCAGTGGCAGCCCAGCCATCTCACCGTTGCCATGGCGATGTTCCTGTTTCTCTCTGCTCTGCCTCTCCCCCCCCCACCTTGACCCCCATTTCTCATCTGGGCTACTTAACCTGGAACCGATGCTTTCCCCCCCCCCATTTATCTAGAAGACAGACAGGGCATCGTAAGCCCCCCCTCGCCCCTCAGGGCCTCCCCTCCCTCCAGCTGGGCAGGGGAAGCAGAGCAGAATCCTGGGATGCCAGGCCAACGTGGACTGATGCATCGTGGCAGCCTTCCACCCCTGCAGTCCTGCACCAGCGAATGCATCTGTCTTTCCAGCAAGCGAGGGAGTCGCCTTCGCTCCCTGCCTGCGTCCGCTCCCCTTGCCAAGAAATTCAAGAAATTGCAAATTTGCTGGGATGCAGATCAGCCTCCCCCATCCCCCCACCCCAAGCAGGAGGGAAACGGAGTTAAGCAAAAAAAAAAGACTTACAATTAGCTAGCCATCATTCTGCTCTTCCCTCCACCTCTCGCTTGGCTCTCGCTTTGAAGGCTGGGGGGCGGGCAGCTTACTTAAACCTCCCCCCCAGCCCCGTCCTCTGCACTTTTCCCTCTCTTTGCCCCTTCTAGTCCATGCCCTGCAAACAGGGTACCAGCAAGGTAATCTCAGCTCCTGAAAGGCCTTTGAATCCCTTCCCTTTGGTGGCCTGGGTGCAGAAGGAAGGGGCGCTCCCATGGTTTACCACACCCACCCAGGAGTTGAGGGGAGTCCAGACACTTTCAACTCCCCCCGAGTTTGAAAGGCCTACAATGATCTCATTGCTTGGCTCCCAATTTTGGAAATCATTGAAGCTTCATTCTCCACTTCTGATCTGAGGGGAGCTGGTTTCTGAATTGCACTGCGTTATCGTGGCTCAGTGGCTAAGACACTGAGCTTGTTGATCAGAAAGGTCGGGAGTTCGGCGATTCAAATTCCTAGTACAGGTCTCATATATAAGGGGGTTGGACTAGATGACCTCCAAGGTCCCTTCCAACTCTGTTACTGTTATTATTATCTCAGCAGACACACACACACACTCAGTTGGAGAAAGCTGCAGGAGAGATCTTGGATTTGCTGTTGTTAAGATGCCAACTGAAGCTCCTGAGTGATCCTTCCAGCCAGGATGATGGACGCTGAAGTCCCACAGGCATAAAGGGCATGGGAACATCGGTGGCAGGCTTTAAAGAAAACGATTCTTCATATGGACGTGTGACACTCGCTGCCTCCAGATGAGACTTCAAACAGAAGAATGAGGTGGTCAGGATACCCACAAGATGTGTCCACGATTGGTGGCAGCCCCGTTGGCATCCTGCTAATTTTCCCTAAGAGTTTTCCTAAGACCTCAGGAGGAAATTCTGCTCAGAAACCTGATCTTAAGCGAGTTGGCTTGCCCGGAGCAGAACCTTAAAATTCTTCTAGCAGAGTTCAGTTGTTTCTGGGGTGCTGCACTCCATCTGTCTGTCGTTGCTCTGTTTTCCCTTTTTGTTGCATGAAAGCTGCTTTTCAAGGAAGGCGAGGGAGAGGAGCTGGCTTTGGGCTTTGGCAACGCGTGTTGTGAACAACAAAGCTGTTTAATTGGCTCTGCTAATTGCCTTCTTCCCGTCTGCCCGGGAATTAACATATAAGCAAATCAGGCTGGGTATTATCAGAGGCGCCTGTGTTTCACCCAAAGAGAGGGAGGGGGGATGGAGGGAGAGAAGGGCCCTTAAGTTTCCCCTCCCCCCAAACTATCGTTTTCCTTGTGCAAAGTCTCCACCATCCGAAGCTTCTCCCCTTTGGAGCAAGCTATCCAAATGCAAGCTGCCACAGGACAGAGTGTCCTCTCCTCCTGTAACCTGCAACTCTTAATAATGTGGGGGGTGGGGGGAGGGGGAGAGAGAAGAGGTCCTTAGAAAATGGTTCAAGCCCACGTCCAAATCTCTTTGGCACTAAATCTCAGGGCCCTGGGCACATGGCCCAGAGCTGTCAGAAGCCGGAGGGCCCAGCCCTTCTGTCCGCGGCACAAAGAGCTACCTGAGGGCTACCTCTGGCCCTCCGTTCATCTAGCCTCGAATCGGCCTGCTTGAGTAGCAGTGAGTCTCTGGAATTGGGGCAAGGAGTTTTGAAGCCACCCCGGCGTGGCCAGGGATTGAAACTCCCACCTGTGGGAGTCCTTGCATGGCACCAAACCTCACCCAGTTCAATGGTGAGTGGTGGTTTTTTTAGCCTCCAGCCGGGTCCATTTTGGCCTCATCAGTGGCAAAATTTGGGGGCTTCTGACAGCCGTGCATTGGAACATCTGCTTGCTGGGGGTGGGGGTGGAGGTGTGTGGAAATGCCATTGTTAGCATCCCCTCGGCTGTCTCATCGCAGCCTTTTCATTAGAGGAGGAGTGGCACGCTTTCCAATTAATTGCAGCCCTTCGGCCACCGGCTCTCTGCAGTGAGCTGCAGTTGCTTTGCAAGGCACATCCGAAAAGGGGGGAGGGTGGCAGTCCACAGGGAAGGTTCTCGCCCCCACCCACCCCGGCCAATGAAGCCAGCCATTCCTCAGGTGCTGGATGGGACCTTTTCAGAGGGCAGGCCAAAGAAGGAGCTTCCTGTTCCTTTTTTGCTGGGTCATCTTCAGTCTTGGTGAGCCGCCAGAATGTGCGCGTCGGGAATCAAGTCCATCTCTGAACAAGTGTTGAAAGAAACGAAGCAATCGCCACCGTTTCCGAGAGACCCAAGGTGAAGAAAAGGCAGCGCAATCCATCTTTCTCCTTCGATCCTGAAGGTAAAACGGTCCCCAAATGTCTGTATTGAGAGTAAGGCGCCTTAGGAACAAGCCGCAGCCTCTCTCCCCTCTTCTGAAGGTTAATTCGGGAAGGTAACTCAATAGCGTTAGCAACAGATGCTCACAGATGCTCCGGCGAGGCTGTACACGGACGCAAAATCAACAGGAATCATCTACAAGTCCAGCCTTTGCTTCCTAAGCTGATAAAAATGCGCGGCTCGGGCTTTATTTATTAACACGGGTCGGCTATAAATATACTTGTTGCCAGTGTTTTTACCTTCTGCATCGTAGCACTTTATCTTCCGTCACATCTATTGGTTCCGTTTCTGAACAAATGAAGCCCCCACCCACCCACCCTAATTCCCTGCAGGCAGAGTCCAGCCCCCTGCCTCTTTCCCCTTTGTAGGTACAACACAGTGACATACCAAATTTTCCTTGCAGGGCTAATTAGCCTTTGGTTAATTAAAAGCACACATTTTTTCCAGTAACATTCTTTCTCTCTCTCTCTCTCTCTCTCTCTCTCTCTCTCTCTCTCTCTCTCTCTCTCTCTCTTTCTCTCTCTCTCTCTCTCTTCTCTTCTCTCCTTTCTCTCCCCCCCTCCCTCCTCTCTCTCTCCTTTCTCTCCCCTCTCCTCCCTCTCTCTTCCTCTCTCTCTCCCCTCTCTCTTTCTCTCTCCTTCTTTTCTCTCTCCTTTCTCTCTCCTCCTCCCTCTCTCTCTCTTTCTCCTTCTCCCTCCCTCCCTCTCCCCCTTATTTTCTCTGTCCCTCTTTCTCCTTTCTCCCTCTCCCTCTCTTTTCTCCCTCCCTCTCTCTTTCTGTCCTCTTTCTCTCCTCTCTCTCTCTCTCTCCCCACTTCTTTTCTCTCCCCCCTCTCTCCTTCTCCCTCCCTCCCTCTCTCTCTCTCTCTTTCTTGGAACAAGAAAACATATCCCTTTTAAAAACAGAGGATAGGATGTTGCAGGAAGGTGTCCCTCTCCAAAGCTTTTCCTCCCAGCCATCAGTGTGAACAAAACCCCCTTCCCTCCTCCCCCTCCTCCCCCCAGGAAGCTAAACCGATCTTTGCATGCATGAAGGCAGAATGGGGACACGGATGAATTCCAGGCTCTGGTTTCGCAGTCATGCGTACCTGCTGAAGGCTGGCTGCAGTGAAGTTGCGGGCAGAGGGAGAGGCTCACCCCAGCTTTCTTCTCCTCCTTCTTCTTCTTCCCATCTGGGGTGACTAGAAACCTGCAGTCTTGGAATTCTGCCTGGAAGGGAGCCTCGATAGATAAATATTATTATCATGGAACCTTGATTGAACAGGCCTGCAGGAGGATTATCGCTCCCAAATATCCATCACATTATATCTTAACAGACCTTGTGGTGAACTGTGTCAGCTGTAGATGTGAAATTACCATGGATTTGGTTTCCTTGTCGGGGAAATGTTGAATGCCCTGGAACGGGCTGCGATTTTGGGGGAAGG